CATATGTGTGAGAAAAAGGGCAAAACATAGAGTAGCATTTTAAGAGTTATTTATGATTAGTGTAATTGTGGATGACTACCTTTTTCTTTTTCTGTTTATCTACTTTATAATTTAATTTAATATTATTTTATATTTCCAAAAAATAAAACCATATAAAATAAGTGTACTTTTTTTCTGATTAGACTAGGACAGAGCAACTAAGGTTTTGATAGCAAACAGAATTTGCTATAATTTACGTGGTTAGAGTGTTTGCATTTCCAACGTGATAGGTCAAACAGATGTCACTACTTAAAAATTCCTCTTCATGACACTAAGCAGATTGTTTTCAACGTAACTACTTTCCCAGAGCAATTTTCCCTTAAGAAAACTCTAACCACAGCCATCTACACAACTATGTCCCTCCTTGAACAAAATGTTAACCTCATTTGGACATTTTAAAAGTTACTCAACACTAATATTAGCAAAGAATTGCATAAAAGGTCAGTTCATTAAATATGAAAATACAATGACCACATTGTTGATAAGGTATTTAATGTAAAAAGGGAGCTCACTGAATATTTAGTATAAATACTTTTCTGACTTAAGATCTCTTCTAAAGTTTTCTTTAAATTAACACCATAATTCTTTTTTGGTTATTTATTAGACTTTAAAGGAAGAGTTCTTTATGTTCTCTCTCCTCTCTTATTAAATAACTTAGACACTCCAGAAAATTTAAATGAACATGAAGACAAACTATAGTTCTACTTGTTAGAATGAGAAAACAATGGAGAAAAAAGTATATCTGTGTACTGCTTTCAAGACAACTCATGATATACCAGCTCAACAACTTTTTCCTGTCCACTTGTAGACTGACAATTTTCATAGCTGCTCCAAGATGGATTTCATCTCCAAATGTTTAGAAACACCATAAAGAAATGAAGAATCCATATGCAACAACATAAATGAAACTGGAGGCTGTTATGTGATGTGAGATAAACCAGACACAGAAAGACAAATACTTCATGATCTCACTTACATGTGGAATTTAAAAAGTTAAACTTACAGGATGTTGATTGCCAGAGGCTGGAATTGAGGAAATGGGAAACTGTTGGTCATAGGGTACAAAATTATTATTCATTTATGAGTAATTTCTGGGCAATGTACAGCATGGTGACTATAGTAAACGATACTATTTTGTATACTTGAAATTTGCTAAGTGAATAGATTGTGAGTGTCCACACACACACACACACACACACACACACAGGTAACTCTGGGATGTGTTAATTAACATTATGGTAATCATTTCACAATATATATATATATATAAAATTATTTGATATACAGTCCCCCCAAAATCACATTGTCCATCCTAAATGAGTGATTTTCAACCAGTGTGCAGCAAATATTTTTAAAACATACAATACATGACTCTTTAGTCAGAAGCACTGACCTCTTTTCCCTTAGATTGTCAAATAAATAAATAAATGACAATAGCCAACACAGCAGCCATCCAGTGCAAATGGATCAAAACATTACCTTTCTTTTTGTCAGATTGGCAAAAATAATGTATTTCTATGTGTACTGCAGAGTTTTAGTAAGCTATATATATAAAAGGCTAAGTGACTGTCCAACAATCCGACCAGTAGCTATGATGTGCACTGACCACCAGCGGGCAGATGCTCAACACAGGAGCTGCCAAGCTGCGGTGACTTAGCAGCGGTGGTTCTCGGGTGACGCACCCCAGAACCAGAGAGGAGGGAGCCCGACTCTGGGGTACATCACCCAAGAACTGCCTTCTTGAAATCCGGAACCACTCGGGGGATGTTGGACAGCCAGTTTTGGCCCAATCCCCACAGGCCAGGCCGAGAGACCCCACCTGCCAGAGGGACCCCACTCACTCCACAGACGCCCTTTGAGCTGCGGCACCACCGCGGGAGGTTGGCTCCAGGGCGTGTCCGGCCTATCTCGCCCAGTCCCACCCCACTGGCCACCTTCTAATTAATTTCCTTTCAATGTGCATGAATCCATGCACCGAGGCACTAGTTAGTTTATGTGTGCCACGAGATGAAAAAGGTTTAAATACACTGACCTAAATATATGCATTTTTTTAGTCATTCATACCTCAATAAAGCTGGGAAAAAATCATAATGAAAAATAAATGAAGAAACAAGGATTTCTCCAAGCATCATGATGACCCTTATGGGGAGGGGGTGGTGGTGTGGTGATGAGAAGGGCGAGGAGTCCAAGGGCAGCTTCTGGAATTCCATTAGTTCTGTTTCTTTACCTGAATATCAGTTACACCGGTGTGTTCACGTTTTAAAAATGCATACACTATGGTATGTTCCACAGTTTTATGCAATAATAGCCACATTAATATTGCTCAGTTTCTATGAAAATTAACTATTTGTTCTGTTTGCAAAGAATAACTTCGAAGAAAAACATGAAGTGAATGCCTGTGCCTAGATCATGTTGGCAACTAATTAGAATAGATTTCAACAAATCATATTTAAATGCCTCTGAAGTTGGCATTGTTCATCTAACTAGTTTTGCCATAATCTTGGGACCCCAATTTTTCCTTTTTAGTGTGAAATTACTAAATTTAAATAAAATAATTATATCATGAAACTTCAAAATCACAAAAGCTATTAGCAAAATGTCTGCTAAATGGTTTTGTATGTGTTAAATAAGTATGCCCAAAATGCTTTAGACAAGGCTGAAACAAGTCAAAATCAAAGACAACTTTTCTAGGAATAGGAAAGGCAAACATAAAGAAAGTCACAGAGACATTAAGGCAACTGTTGATCCAGTATGTTAAGATTCCTAATTTTCCCCAAGCCTCAGTTTTCTTATCTGTTAAATGGGCATCCTTATACTTACCTCTTGTTTGGTTTGGGATGAGAGAAAGCCTATATAATAAGCTTGGCAATACCAGGAACAAGAGCACCATGGAATCCATAGAATAGTTCTTTGAAAAGATAACTATTCTTCAAATATTATTTCATATCATCAATGTATTTAAATGGGTGAGAAACCATTTTAAGCAGCTTGATAATTTTAACTCTTGTTTATAAATTATTTCTTATTTCCTAATATGAAATTTTAAAATCACATCCTAATTTGTGTGATCAACTCAAAATGTTGTTGCTATTGTTTATAATCACCAGTTTAAATGTGCAAATTATTTATTCAGTATATCATTATGAGTTAGTCCTATTGTCTCATGTCTTCCAAGAAAGCATAGCTTTTTTAAAAAAATGTTACCTCAGTCCTGCAAGTGATTTGAGCTTTTATGCCACTGTCTATAAATCATTCATTCAACCAATATTTCTTATTAATAACTTGTGTGCCTTGACCTGCTGTTCTAGGTCCTGGAATGTAATAAGCATCAACTCAAAGACTCATTCCTCCTGGAGTTTACATCATAATAGGGAGAGAATTAACAGCAACTTTAATAAACAAATAAATAATATAGTACAGTAGTGGGTGACTCATGCTATGAGAAAAAATAAATGAAGCAGGGTAAGGAAGACTGGAAACGGAAGGGTAGTTCTCATTGAGAAAGTGACAGTGACACTTGAAGCAAATTAAGAGTTAGCCCTGCCATTATCTGCGGGAAGAGCATTCCATGCAGAAGGAACAGACAGTGCAAAGGCCAAAGGCTGGAGGTGGCTGGGGTGTGGCTGAAGCAGAGTGAGCAAGGGAAGGCAGTGGTGCAGAGGAGCCAGAGGTGGGTCCCTGGGAGCACTGCTGCTTTCTCTCGCTGTGAAGTGCAGTGGTTAGTGCAGGGGGAGCAGGATGCAATTTGCTGCTTTTAAAAAAATGTGTCACACTTTAAAAGGATCAGAGGATATGTTAGTCTGCTGTGTTGAGAAAGAACTTTAGGAAGACTACGGATAACAGCAGGAAGACCAGTTAGGAGGAGCTTGTCCAGATGAGAGATGTGGGTGACTCCAACAAGCACTGACAGTGGTGGGGTGGGCAGAAGTGGTTGGATTTGGAATGTATTTCGGAGGAAGAATCAGGAGGAACTTCTGACAAATGTGTATGGGGTGTGAAAGGAGATAAGCAAATGATTCCACTTCATGGAAAATTATTACGAAGGAAAATATTGTATGTTTTCATTTAAAATCTTACATATTTTACTTTCCTCAAAGTGTATTCTTTCTATTGAATTGTATGGAATGAAACTACAGGTGAAATATCTAATAGCTTTGTTAACATATTTTTCAAAATGCCAGCACTGTGAGCATGCCCGTCAGCCTGGAGCAGAGGTCTCTACAAGGAGGCTTGTGTAACTGGCCCGCCTGCCACGCCCCTCTGCTCCGACCTTTGGGAGGACAGCTGTGCGATGGATGCTGTCAATTTATTCCGTGTCCATCAACCAGAGTTGAAGTGGCATTCGATGATTTCACTCATTGGGATGCTGCTGGCTTTTGACCTTGAACTTTCCAAGTTTGTGACTTCTTGTTTTTCTTTGGCAGTCTTTGCCAGGTTGTCTTAAAGAAGAATTTCATTTTACTGTCAAAAGAAAATTACTTCCAGTTCTTTCCTATGTCACAACCTGTCATTTCTGCAGGTGTGGCCCATTGTGACTCGGGCTGTGAGGGTAGGCTTGATCTTATTGTCACTTTCTTTTCTTCCAGCTACCTAAGAGCACACCTCCTCCGACTTCTTTCTGTGTGTCACAGTGGGTATTGTTACATAAATATTTCTTATATCTCATTGATTTCAGTGAATATAAGATTATCTCATTCTTTTGCAGTGTCTCTATATTTAAAACTTTAAGGAGAGGACCGAGTGTGCTGAGGTCCTCGGAGATCATTGTCTTGTGGACAAGAACGTGCTTTCCCGGCTCGGCTCGGGGTGCGGGGTGCGTGGCTGAGCGCACGTGGCCATGGGCAACCACAGGACGGCGCTGCCCAGAGCAACCCATTCCCCCTGAGCAGCGCAGGGCGCCCCGGGCCATGGACTCACCTGCCCCACCTGCCCTGCGCGCTGCCCCTCCCCAGACGAGGACTATGGGTGAGGAGGAAAGGATGCCAGCCACACGGGTGAAGCCCAAGTCCAGGGCGGCAGTGACGTTCGGGGACCTGGCCATCTACTTCTCCCGGGAGGAGTGGGAGAGGCTGAGCCCCGCGCATGACGTTCGGGGACCTGGCCATCTACTTCTCCCAGGAGGAGTGGGAGAGGCTGAGCCCACGCAGAGAGGTCTGTACAAGGACGTCATGTTGGAGAACTACCAGACCTTGGTCTCGCTCGGACTGTCCCGTCAGAAGCCAAACATGATCGCCTTGTTGGAGAAAGGGAAAGCACCCTGGATGGAGAGATTTGTGAGAAGACCCCGCGGCCTGGGAGGCTGTAGGGACCACAGGCGCGTTCAGGTGGGTGGGGCTGCCTGCCCGGCGTGGAGGCAGGTCCCGCAGCAGAAAATGCCAGAAGAGCGATGCACCTCTGAAGCTGAAAGAAGGCGGCACGGGCCACAGAACTTATCTGAAGAGCAGTTATTGGCAAAACGCAGATCTGCAGCCGAAAGGAGCCGGCGTTATCGACAGAAAATGTCTGAACAGCAACGTGCCTCTGAAGTTGATGAAAAAAGGCAACATCGCAACAGAATGTACCTAAAGGGGAACTATTGGCACAATGTACCTCATTAAATGTGAGGCTACACGTGCAATCATTTCTCAAAAAAAAATGAGCAGGTTCAAAAATTAAATGAAGATCATTTCTCAAAAAAAAAAAAATGAGCAGGTTCAAAAATTAAATGAAGAAATTTTGGATGTACTCGGAGATTTTCACACATAGTTGAGTGATGATTCCATTGATTCAACAGATGATGCTGAAAAGGAAAATTTTCCCATTGAATTTCTTAGTAGTATTACTCCTTCAGGAACGCCGTGTCATAAATTAAAATTGAAAGTGGGTACAATCATCATGCTACTGAGAAATCGTAATAGTAAATAGGTCTTTGTAATGGTCCTCAATTTATTATCAAAAGATTGTGACCTAACATAATCGAAGCAATAAGCATTTAGGTTTCTCAATGTCTTTTCATAGCTTGAGAACTCATTTCTTTTTAATGTTGAATAATATTCCCTTGTCTGGACACACCAGTTTATTTAGTCATTCCAAGTTGTGGTGATAATAAGTAGTTAGGTTTCTCAAATTCTTTTCATAGCTTGAGAACTCATTTCTTTTTAATGTTGAATAATATTCCCTTGTCTGGACACACCAGTTTATTTAGTCATTCCAAGTTGTGGTGATCATAAATAAATGTTTATTCTACAAATATTTTTAAATATTTACACTATAAACATATATGGTCAGGATTTTGTGTGGATATCAGTTTTCGGTTCCTTTGGGTAAATACCAAGAAGTGCAGTTGCTGGATAACATGTTAAGAACATGTTTAGTTTAGTAAGAAACCACCAAACTATCTTCCAACGTGGCTGTGCTATTTTGCTTTCCCACCAGCGACTGTGAGAGTTCCCACTGCTCCACATCCTCTCCAGCATTTGGTGTTGGCAGTGTTCTCGATGATGGCCATTCAAATGGGTCTGTAGTGGCACATTGTTGTTTTGATATGTATTCTTGGGTGACATACTATGTGGCACATCTTTTTTTAAAAATATATGTTATTGATTTTTTACAGAGAGGAAGGGAGAGGGAGAGAGAGTTAGAAACATCGATGAGAGAGAAACATCGATCAGCTGCCTCCTGCACACCCCCTACTGGGGATGTGCCCGCAACCAAGGTACACACCCTTGACCAGAATCGAACCTGGGACCCTTCAGTCCACAGGCTGACGCTCTATCCACTGAGCCAATCCGGTCAGGGCTATGTGGTACATCTTCATGTGCTTTTCCGCCCTCCATACATCTTTGGTGAGGGGTCAAAATCTTCGGCCCATTTTTAAATTGGGTTGTTTTCTTATTGTTGACTTTTAAGTGTTCTTTGTATATTTTAGGTAACAGTCGGTCTTTTGTCAGTTGTGTCTTTTGCAAATATTTTCTCTCAGTCTGAGACTTGCCTTTTAACTCTCTTTCTATTGTCTTTCACAGAGCAGACGTTTTTAATTTTAATGATCTAGCCTATCATGTTTTCCTTTCATGGATCGTGTCTTTGGTGTTGTGTGGTGTTAATCTTACAATCTTTCCTCCTAGATGTGAATGACTGTTGGGAGATTTGCATCTCACAGGCATGGCCAGGATGTCCTATGAACATGTGTATCACAGTGTTACAGTGGCCAAGTTCATTGGGTGTGCAAGAAACATACTGTACAAGAATAATAATCTTATATTTAGGAAAAATAACTTCAGCCAGAGCCTTAAGTTTCTTGACTCTCCTCATATTAAAAAATCCAAGAAACATGGTGTTATATCCAGCAAAATAATTACATTCATCCAGAAAAAGAAGAAAATGTAGAAATGTAGTAACAATTGCATCCTTGTTAAAAAAAAAACACAAAACAACGTAGAAAAGGAATTACTGATTTTTTAAAAAAGATAATAAAAACAAAGTTTAGCCCTGGTCAGTGTGGCTCAGTTGGTTGGAGCATGTCCCAAACACCAAAAAATTGCCAGTTCAATTCCTAGTCAGGGAACATACCCAGGTTGCAGAGGTTGTGGGTTCGATCCCCAGTCATGGTGTATATGGGAGGCAACTAATCAATGTTTCCTCCTCTCTCTCTCTCTCTCTCTCTCTCTCTCTCTCTCCTCTCTCCAATTAAAAAAAAAAGTTCATTATTGCCAGAATATCAAGGAAGACACTCCCCAGAGAAGGGAAGGGAGAACTACAATTTTCCCAAGAGAATGAAATTACGAAGGGATAAAGCTTCAAATTATTGTTTTCAGAAGTTCTTTAGTTTTGGTGTGGAAAGATAAGTGTGGTTTTGGTTCTTATCATTTCTTTCTAAAACGCAGATCTGGCTAGTGGTTCCTTTTGAGGCAGGGCAAGGCAGTCATTTTTCCTTCTAAGTGTCCTGACTCTGATCCAGCGCTGCACTGGAGCTGGACTGCACTGATTCAAAAGTCATTTCTGCTCTTACACTCCCTACTCCCTGTTCAATTACATCACATCGGTAGCTTGAGATCAGCCAAGATCAAGGAGCATTTACACAATAGAAACTGGCAGACACAGGAGAGATGTTGTCAGGGCTCCAAGAGAGAAAATGCCGGTTTCAGGCTGAGCCACGAGAGACGACAATCATAACCCTTTTCCACTGCCAGAGCTGCAACCTCCACATGGGCTCACCCTTCTCCTTCTCCCTTCTGAGAGTTCTTTTTTACATAAATTCATTTAAACGCATTCTAATTTGTGACCAAATATCCTTAACACAATTCATATGTCATTGCTCTTAACTTTAATAATTTTCCTTTCTTCATGGCTTTTGTCATTGACATATTAATTCAATATGTAGCCATTTTTTTTAAAAAAAGGCAAAGTCCAGTCATTGTTAAGTGCACTGGCCCTGAAGTCAGATGAGCTGAGCCTGAATCCTGACTCTGCTTACTGGCTGTGATGTTACATGAGTTACTTATGCTTCCCTTGTATCAGTATTTCCTAATGGTTTTTGTCTGGTACCAGTACATGGTACTGAGAACAGTGCCTCACATACAGTGCTAGTTCTTATTTATGTTTTGTATTTGCACCACCTGTATACAAAGAGATAATGTTAAATTGCTTAGAAAATCTATTTGAGGAGTTATACAGTGCTCTTGAAATTTTATTTTGCAAATTCACACTTTGGTCACAGCCTCCTAGTTTGCTGTTGATTTGGAAGAAAATGCCTAGCAGAGAGTATAACTTAGATAAATATTAGTTCTTCACTGCAAATTTAATTAGCATCTCTATGAGCTCCTATTTCCTCCATTATACAATGGGGCTATTAATATCCAGCTCACAGCATTGCCTAGAGGGCTCCTTCTGCATCTTTTTAATTCAGGACAAGCATAGAAAACAATCACATCTGAGCAGCTCACTGGGGTGAAGAGGCCCAGCTGCCTCCGCCTCAGGGCTCCAGTACCTTGACCCACCTGCACTCCACCCCCAGCACCCGGTGGAGAAGCTCTGGCCTAGGCCATCACATGCCGTGCCCACGAATGCCAGCGAGCCTGGCACACAGATGACACCGCATTAGTCCCACTTGGTTAGCTCAAATTAATGAGACTACACCATATTGGATGGAAACTCACAAAAAGCGCAGAGCCTGGGTGGTGTCTGCCGTGGATAATTTTTGTCACTGGGTTTTATTCTAATATGACTCCCCCCCCCCCCCCCCCCCCC